TAACCTTGCCTCTTCTTTGCCTGAGGCGGTTGCATAACTTTGAGCAATCCGTAAAAGAAATGAAAAACTTGAGTAAAACGCCCAGATGTTTTCCACTTCAGATAATGCAACAAGTTCCTTATCCCCTGATCACATGTAAGGCTGGGTGGAACAACTTGAAAAACAAAATATGCTTTGGGAGAAGAGCTGATCTTGTAACTGGAAGAAAAAGAACAAGCAGACAAGAGAGTGTAATATGAAAATCTTAAGAGGAAAAAGGGTTCAGCTGTTACTACTGTTATGGCGGTGCTGCTGTGTTTCTTTGTTAAATTCAAATTCTTTCTGTCATCCTCGTAAAAACAGTGAAAAGGCGGAATAGAGATTGGTTCTTGATGTCAAATTTCAAGCAGTCATTTGACATAATGGTTACTCTGCAGTGGTATAATCTGTCATCCTACTTGGACCACATTTCTTACTGTATATCCTTTGTGGTTTAATCTTTATTTTCTGTTTGCAATATTAAAATAGTTCAATCCTGGTAAACAAAATTGCTATTTTTCAAATAATATACGGGAGTCCTGAATTGAGGGCAAAATCAATTACTGGAAAGGGTGTGCAGTATAAGGAAACTCATTAAGTAACTGGTTGCAACCAAAGTTTGAAAATGTTTCCAGTGTAAGCTGCAAGAATCTTGGCAGCTGGTTTTAAGCAAGTGCAAGCTGAATCCAAAACGGTGCTGTATTATTTGTAACCTTGAAGCTGGGTATGCTTTCACATCTTACAGTTGTCATTGGTGTACATTCTGTACCTGCTGTCAACTCGGCGGACCCCTTACTGTGCTGAGTAGCAGACTTCAAGGACTCAGGTGGTAAATTAGTCTTTTGTGCTTATTCAGACTGAGATGCTAATGAGGACACTTGTTGGCAACGCTCATTTTTTGGGATGTGAACAGCTGTTGACAAGGAATTTGAATGAGATCAACTCATGTCTCACAGACCATAAAATGGCCATCAGATATCATTAAACTTATGGAAGTAACAGTTGGGATAACAGTAAACACAACTGCCCTGGCATGCTCTTACCGCCAATTTCAGTTTGTATAGTCAGGAGTTTGAGATCCCTTCTTTCAAAAATACATCAGTCTTTAGGCTTAGAAAATTTTGTGGCAGTTAAAAATAATCACTGAATACAGATCACTTACGTATGTATACCATACACCAGTAAATGCTTCCTTTTCAGGTCATGGAAGCCAGGTGATGCTGTGATCAGTGCCCAAATGTTTAGAGAGAAAGCAGCGAGTGGCAGGAATTGAATGATGCCAGTAAGAGCAGTATGAGTGGATATGGTTGTATTACTGTCAGAGGATAAATACAGAGGTGGCAGGTGTGTCTGAATACTAGTATGGACTTGGCTTTTCTCCTGTGGCCTTGATCAGGTTCACAAAAACATGTGTGTCAGCCCCTTGAAATCTGTGCTTTTATGACTTCTTGAAGAGGTATGCTTTCCTGAACTGGGACTGAGCCCAGCACATTCTCGTGGCATCTGTTTTTCTTCAGATAAAATCAGGAGAGAGATGAATTCTCACCATGTTTGTTAGCATTATAACCTCTTAACCTTGCCTTCCTTGAATGGCAATATAGTTGTGAAATGGACATTGTCTTACAGCAGCTAAAAGATTATTTGTGGAGATTGTTTTTCAGCCTTGTAGCTGAAACAAGTCTAGATAAAACTGTGTGAAACACTATATTGGCATAGCATTACAGTAAAAAACAGACCAAGAGAAGAAACCTGGCAACTAGTTTGGACTGTGTACTATATGTAGCCCCAGATGGAGAAAGTCATTTAAATTAGCTTTCCAGAATGAGGTCTGGTCCAAACATTTGAACACTTTCTATGAATCTGGTTGAGGCAGCTACAATGTTACTGGCACCCTTCCAGCTTTTCTGTCAAAGCAATGCTTTTCCTTAACAGTCTTGTCCAGTCTGTGGGGAAAAAACCAATGTCCACATCCTCTGAGATACAGTTGCGAACATTTGCAGAGCTTGTTGTCTAAAGACTTTCAAAGTCGACCTAATCTTTCTTAGTTTTGACACCATGCTTTCGTCCCATCTTAAGTAATTCCTTTTCAACTGCAGTGATTACAATCTGTGTTGTCAGTCATCTTGCTTCATGTCACAGTTGCTTATTTCTTTTCTGAAGTGTCTGTACAGATTGTTTCTAATCAGCTGCTGCTGATTATTATTTTCCTCTAAACTCAATACCAATTTATTATTTGCCTGTCTCCTAATACAGTGACCATATAAGCTAATGTGGTCAGTCCCGGATTATTACTGTGTTTCTTTAGAATTCAAAGCTATGTTGATTTTTAAAGAACATGTTAATAATAATTTTAATTGTTTAAAATTAGTAACTGTAATTTGCTACTTTGGTGGTCAGTAAAAAATGCATCTATCTGTTCATTGTGTTTAAAAAACACCAAAACAACAAACAAACCACCAAACAAGCCTAATGCCCTAATGCCAAGTGGGAAAGGTTGGTTCCGTTTTTGACTATGCGAATCCAGAAGTACAGTCCTGATTGTTTAATTAGAGAAAGGACAGTAAAAGACCTAGGTTTCTCTTTAGCTTATGTTTGTAGAATCACTGACAGCAAATAGTGGCATTTTTAACTTCCTGGTGCCAAAAATCAGAGCTTTTGAGGTAACATTTTGTGTCTTAACTGACTTGATCCAGGCAAAATCAATAATTTAGCAGAACAGACCAATTAATCACAATGAATATTTGTTAGATTTTAGTGTAGATGTTCAGAAACAGAGAACACTGAGGTGCAATCTTAGAATTACTAGCATTTTTAAGGTAATTTGTTAAGTTTTATTTATGAAAACACTGTCCAAGGTTTTGCATGATATTTTCTGAAGGGACTTTTGAAAGCTGGGTAAACAATGCACTTTCTGAAAGGACTTTCAAAACGAAACTGTCCTTTTAAGAGACGGATGGCAGCAGAGGGATTATAGCAGAGTTCAACTTTGTATCTCCAAGTGGAACCTTCTCTTCTTTGTGTATTCCAAAAGGGTAAAGTATTGTGGTCTATGCCTTGATTTTGCTATTAAGAAAGCCTGTTCTGCAAATTAAGTGCATATGAGGCTTGTACACGAACTCAGGCTGCCATGAAGCCAATGTTTAATGAGGGCCTTTGTATTTTACTCTGCCAGGTACTTTTCTTGTGACTGGAGGCTATTTTTAGTTTCTCCTAGGGAAAAATAAAAAGTCCCCCTTGTGCTTTTAACAGTTTGTATACTGTTACGAGCCTTTGTTTTTCCGTCTGAATCTGATGTTTTCTGGAATGTTATAAAACAGATTGTTTGTCTCGCCTGAATGTGCTGTTATTTATTTTGCTGATAACACATCTAAAAGCATTTTCACTGTTCCAGGCACTTGGCTTCTTGTGGTATTCTGATGACCAGAATTTCTCCTTTGCAAGTACCTGTAATGAGCCATACCTTTTCAAGAACTTTCTTCAACATTGCTGCTCCACTAGTAAATAAAAGAAAAGAATATTCTGAAAGAAGAATTATAGGGTTTGTATAGAAGTGTGGAAAGAGACTTTATACGCTTACCAATTTTGTGTTTGCTGTGATTAATCCAAAATGCTAGAAGTTCCAAGACTGAGCATCCCTGAAGACACATGCCCGATGACTCTGCCCCATTGGAGACTAGGAAGGAGTTTTGACTTTCAGAATTTGTAGAGATCAGGCTTTTCCAGTCTGAAATTGAGTATAAAAAATGTAGGAACCCCAAACCCTTGCCCCATAGAAAGAAACAACAGAAATAACCCTTCAATTCCATGACAAAACAAAACCCACCCTGAAAGGGAAGAATACACTATTAATTTCATCTGGTGAAATGGGAATAAACCAACAGGTGTGAAAACTCTCAGTTGGTTCCCTTCTGTCCCAAATACATGTTAATGTTTGCACTTACATTATGTTGTACTTCTCACTTCTTGAGATTTTCTTCTTTCTTCAAAAGAAGAAAAATAATTGTGTGATGAAGAAACTTAGGCACATAGAAAAAGATTTTGAAATCCTGTTTGCCTTAAAGCTAGTAGGAAAATGCCAGTTAATTTAATGAGACTGGGATCTGCCCACAGTTTCTGGTCCACAATAGAATGAACTATTTGTTTATTAGCATAATTTTGTTACTATGCTTAACATTCGTGTATGTGATAGTTCTTGAACTGCAACAGATTTTGTATAGTCACTTAAAAAGAGCCTTTTTCCAATAATACTCACTGTTAAGTACTGTTGAACATATGCTTCATTTTAAACACAGATGGAATTAAGCATACTTCAATTCTTTTCTGAGTCAGAACTAAAAATTAAAAACCATAGCTATGTAATACTTTGCCACGTTACAGTAGAATCAACTAAAATGTTGCCATTGTATTCTTTCATATGATTTCAATACCCTGCCTGAGCAGGGGGGTTGGACAAGATGACCTCCAGAGGTCTCTTCCATCCTCATCCATTCTGTGATGCTGTGAGGTATTTCCATTGCATGTGTTTTTTAATTAAGCTTTTTTTATTTGGGCTAAAATAAGGAAAGTAGTGCTCCTCTATTTAAACCTTATGAAATAAAGTACTTCAGTTTTGGTACACCTTTTCTTGGTAGCCATGAAGTGTGGATTCTTTATGTGGAATGTCTAAGATCTACCTCAATGAAGACATGGCTATGCTGGAAAAACTGTTTTTTCCATTTGAAATGTATGCATATTTACCTGATATTGCAGAAAGTAGCAGACACCAGGTTCAGTGTTCGCTAACTTTACTGCTGGATGTTGTGTGGTGTTTTGCATCTTTATGCAAAGACTTCTACCAGTTTATTACTTTTTTTTCTCTTTTTAATTTCCAAAAACAGTAGTAGTGTTTTCAGGTGACTGTATGTTCACCTTCCAAACTGCCCATGCCATTTATACCATCTTTGAAACTTTTTAATACTGAATTTGAAGTTAAGATACTTTGTAACTAATGTTCATATTTCTGTTTCCAGGTATTCTATGCAGGAAATGTATGAAGTTGTTGCTGTTGTGGAGAATTACAAACTATTTGTTCCTTGGTGTAAAAAGTCAGATATATTATCGAAGCGCTCTGGGTACTGCAAAGCACAGCTAGAAATAGGATTCCCTCCAGTAGTAGAGAGGTATACATCGGTTGTTACCCTAGTGAGACCACACTTAGTTAAGGTAACTTTTTTTTTTGTTTTCTTAGCTGTAACTTTCCGTAACTTTTGTTTGTTGAAATTCAAATAATTCACTGGTGCTTCAAAACAAAATTGATGCTGGAAGTGCTTTGTGTGGCTCAAAACTTGTGTTGCTTTTGTTTAAAGACTTAAGTTAACTGGAGAGAATTTGAATGTGCTTTTAAAACATAAGCTGCCAAATGGCAGGAGGTGGGGGGGAATTGCCTTTTAATTTCCTTTTGCTGGAGAAACTAGCAGCCATTAATGAAAGTATACCGTCCTGGTTTTGGCTGGGATAGAGTTAACTTTCTTCCTAATAGCTGGCATAGTGCTGTGTTTTGGATTTAACATGAGAATAATGTGATAACGCACTGACGTTTTAGTTGTTGCTGAGCAGTGTTTATACTAAGTCAAGGACTTTTCAGCTTCCCATGCTCTGCCAGCGAGGAGGTGCACAAGAGCTACAGGGAGGGGGCACAGCCAGGACGTGGATATTCCATACCATGTGACATCATGCTCAGTATATAAATGGGGGGAGTTGGCAGGGGGGCGGTGACCGCTGCTCGGGGACTGGCTGGACATTGGTCAGTGGATGGTGAGTGGTTGCATTGCTTGTTTTTCCTGGGTTTTGTTCCTATCTCTCTCTCTTTTGTTGTTTTCCTTTTCATTACAATTTATTACTATTTTTATTTTATTTTATTTCAGTTATTAAACTGTTCTTACCTCAACCCACGAGTTTTCTTACTTTTGCCCTTCTGATTCTCTCCCTCATCCCACCAGGGGAGAAGGGTGAGCAAGCGGCTGTGTGGTGCTTGGTTGCTGGCTGGGGTTAAACCACGACATACACCATTTTTGTTTGGTTTTGTTATAATTTTGCCCAAGCCTCTCTAAATGCAAAATTAATACTGACTTAAAAGTTATCTTTGACAACTGTAGCTTCTGATGCCTTAGCAAAATTGGTAACTGTCATTGCTTTTCTTCTGACAATTTTAACTAGCTAATCTGAGAAGTCTTAAACTTAAGTGTAGGATCTGCTGAAGAGCTTGTTATTCAGTGTATTGATGAGAAGATAGAAGAGTGGATTTAAAGTCCATTTTTTAGAATTAATTTGTTCAGAAGAGAAGCAGTTGTATTTCTCCTCCTTTCAGCTTTTCAAGAGCAATAATTAAAAGAAAAATGTCATAGGAGAAATTTTAAATGACGTCTGGATCTTCTAACTAGTTATATGTTCAAATCTGTTTTGGTTAGGAACAGCTCAGAACAGATTCCTTACAGCAAAGCTGCCTCTCCCTTCATGTGGCAGATCTTGGCTATTTTTTTGAATAACTAGTGGAATTACAACAGTTGATTGCTGTTTAAGATAATTGTTTGGATATCCTATTTCACTATTCTTTTCTAGGCTTCCTCTTAAGAGACATTGCTCAAAACAGAAACTGGGTTTCTTAAGTACAGGGGAGACATGAATTGGAAAGGGAATATGCAAAGTGCCTTTATTCAAGGTACTTACTGATTCTGGAAAAAAATATATCTTTCTCCCTTTCTTGAGAAAGTTGAACAGCTACAATAGAAAATCTGCATTTTACATGCTGACTGCTTTCCCTTTCTGCTCTTCCCTGTCAAGACTGGCTTTTTCCTTTCACATAGCTATCAGACTGGCCTACCAACTCTTTTTACCTCTAATTCACTCAAAAGAGGATTTCTTGTCTCAGAAAAGATCATGAAAGTGGTGAGGAGAACTGTTTCTTTAGATTTCCTCCTCCTAGATTTATTAGCGTTTTCTCTGCTGGGATTATTTTTCCTAGAAGTTTACATTATGTTCATACAACTGTAGGAATATTTCTAGAGAAGTGACTGTGTTTGGACTACTTCACCGTCCTCAGAAATAACTCTGGGCAAAGGCAGCTTGCATGGTGGTCTAGCATAGCGGGCTACTGGGGGCGACAAAATGAGCACAGGTTTGTTGCTTAGGGCAGCAGTGCTTGAGCAATGGAAAAATCAGACTGGTAGTAGCAGCTCTTGCGGCAGAGGAAAGCACGGAGTAAGTTTGCTACTTATAAGGTTGGGAGCAAGGGGGACACACTGGCAATTTTCCTATTCTTCCTGCCCTTTTGGCAGCAGCAGGAAAAGCAAGCCCAGCTCTTTGTGTCTAATCTTCCCTCTACTCCTCCCCTTTCTGTTGTAGAAGCATCAAGACACTGCATCTCATTCCTGGGCAGAAAAATGTAGGTATTTTTGTGCTGCTGATTAGTCTTTGAGATGGCTTACCTTACCACGACTTTCAAACCACAAGCAATACCTATTCATCGTGGGTAGTCTTGTTGGAGCAGAGCTGCTTGTGGTAACAATAAGACCTGTAAACAAAGAGTTAAAAACCCAGAAATTCTCTCTAGAAATTCCAAGACAACTGAGATCATGTATTTCGATGATTTTGAAGTATGTGTCTTTCAATCTTTTTCTATTATAAATATAGCCACACAAAATTGGCTATATGTGCTAAAAGCAAAATGAGTGAAAATAAGGACCTTATTGTCATGAAAACTATGAAGACAACTACTGCAAATACTTTTATTGTTTTAAAGTAGGATTGTATGCAAGCACTCCTGAAATGTTAGCTCAATACGGCTTGCTGGTAACTAAAAGCCAATGTATGAGCTGATTATGAACTTGAGTGTATAGTCTTACTGACTTCATGGTAGCTCCTGATGACAATAGTATCTTGTGACAGAAGATGTTTGGAGTTTGTCTTCAGTCAGGTTTGTTTTGGTGCTAAGCATGCCTATAGCCCAAGACTATCAGTCTGTATATCGGTACATAAAACATTCTATACATGCAATGAAAAAAAACCCAAAACCCCAAACCAGTAAATATCCATATCCTTTGCTTAAAACAGTGTTGTTCAAAATTCTAGTATATAGCATTAGCATTATTTTGGTGTTCTATGCATCCTGCTAGAGATCTGTTTTATGACTCTCAACTCAAAAATATTTCCTCTCCCTTAAAAGGGATTCAGTTACTTTGCTGTAAATGATACTGTGCAAATAGGATCTTATACTGGCTGCACTATAAGAATAGTTTTAACTATGCCATGACCTTCACTGTTTAACAAAATGCAAATGCAAACTTCAGTAATGCCAATTTGCCTGTACAAATACATCTGTAAAAGCCTAATTGTAGCTGTTTTAAACTTTCTTTTAGGCATCCTGCACTGACGGAAAACTATTTAATCACTTGGAAACAGTGTGGCGTTTCAGCCCAGGTATCCCTGGTTATCCAAGGACATGCACATTGGATTTTTCAGTATGTATTGCTATTAAGACTTCCACACGCTTGGAACAAGGCATAGAAACAGTATCTTCAGCTGTGGTTTTTGGTGGTTTGTTTTGGTTTTTTTAGTGGCTGGTACTATTTTTTTTTAAACATATACGCATGGAAAACAAGTTAGTTTTAGTCACTACTATAAAGAAAAAATTTTTTTGCAGACTTTACCACATGGAAACCACTGCAGCGTCCTTCAGAGTCAGCAGTCTTCTGTGAGGTGTCTGCCTGTCATGAAACAGTCTAGGGATTGGTATCTCTCACCATATGTCTCACCGTACAATTCTAAACATGCTGAAGTTTTTAGACAGTCAACTGCAGAGGAAGAAATACTAAACATACTTTGCTATTTCCTTTAATTTCTCTACAACCTAAGTGTTCTGGGTACCAGAAAGTAGGTATTCTCCCATCTGTCCTGTTTGGCCTGTAGTTTGGTCAATTTTCTGGCTTCCAATTTTATTCTTTCAAGTATTTTAAGACTTACTCCTTCCTTCTATAATACAGGTATAATAGATTTTTGCTGTCTTTCTACTCTATGATGGGATGTCACTGCAGCTCGAGACTATCGCTCTTTAAATCCAGTGTCTGATTTAGCCTGTTACTCCTAGGCAAGTTGTTTTCCACTCAAGTTATCGCTTTTTCATTTTGTCTATTTAGTCTCTCATCACATTTTTTTCTTACATTTTATAGTGTTAAGAGTAAGTGTTGCATTGAGCACCTAGCTAAGCTGGGGTTCAGAACAGGCTACAAAAGTACATAGAAATGGGTTGATCTTGCTGCCATCTACTGGGATACTCTGCTTTAAAAATTGTCTTCTGTAAATAGGAAAAAGAGCTTTTGGAGTATTTGTATACTAGCACATTAATCTCCTTGGGTTAATAACTTTCAACTTATTGCTGTTTTGCACTTCATACAGTTCAGCAGTAAAAAGGAATCTATAGGTACTCACAAAAATACATTTCTCGTGGGATTTGCCAGTGATGTTTGCATGTTATTTGCTTGTGGGATTTGAATTTCTCCAGGCAAATAAGTGCCAGTTCTTGCTACTGACCAGTACATAAGCTAGCTTTTAACCCAAGCCATAAATCAGTTGATTTATGATTAAACCCTGTAATCTAAATACTGAGTTTGTGAGGAAAACTCCCCCCTCTGCCCCATACCAAAGCCACCTTTTGACATTTCAGGTCAAGAACTTCAGTTAATGGGAGTCAAAACTGGACTTAAAATGGACATTTTCACTTTCTTGGGGAAACGCTATTGATAATTCTTATTGCTTACCCCATTTTGAGGTAGCAGAGGCAAATGTAGCCAGCTGAGCAGGGGGTTGCCTCACAAAGGCAAGTCCTTACGGACTCTAACCCTTGCTAGTTACTCACCTGCTGTGTTACTTGCCTCTGGGCCTGTGCAGATAGCGATGATAAGCATTTCACAACAAACTTCTCAAAACATACTGTGCAATTACAAATACTTCGGAGAGAAAACTTTGATTTCAAAAATGCTCATTTGCTTTAGAAAATGTAATTTGAGTTTTGAGTTATGCTGGTTCCCACAAGCTACTGCATCACTGTTTTGCCAGCCTGATGCCAGGAGACATATACATACAGCTGGGAACTGTTCTAGTTTGGTTTCAGTTCTTAAATGATTTGGTATATAGATTGAAGCACAACACCATTTTTACCATCTGCAAACTTTGTAAATGTGTACCGTACCTCAAGTTTTTACATAGTTACTGAACATGATGCGAAACTCATTATCCCTGCTCTGCAGAACTCTACATGCTCTACATGACAACTCTCAGACTTTCAAAAGGCACATTAATGTTACTGATGCTTGAGGTCAAGCAAATGAAAATGAAGCTACACCTGGCTTACAGTCCAAGTAGTTTAATTCCTTCTGTGCTACTGTTTCGCATTACGCATAAGCAACTTGAGAGAAGCTGTATTTGGCATTTAATCTGCTGATTTCTCAGGAATGACAAAAATACTTAAATCTCAATCCAAAACACATGCTGTAGCAGGAGTGATAAAATCGCAGAAGAGCAACCTGTTTCTTTTCCTGAAAATTCTGTAATCATTTTGGGAAACTGTGTATTCCAAAACAATGTGATTCCATGGCCTTAGGGGAATGTTGTTTAACTAGACCGAAGGCCAGCACAGCACAAAAGCGTAATTGAAGGCTATTTAACATAAAAGTGACTGTTTCTTTTGAGGTTGAAGAAAGCGGACTCCCTGACTCCCTGTGCCCTTGCCATAACTGTTAACTATTACAGTAGCTTCAGTTTAACTGTAAGCTTCAGTAGCTAAAAGAAAATGTAGACGTTAAGTTCTGAGCACTGCAGTAGGAGGCCCGAGGGCTTGGTACAGAGGACTTCACCAGTATGTCTGTGCTCTGACACTGGCTGCCGGTGTCAGGACGGCGAAGGTCGGGAGCGGGAGGTGTTCGGGCGGGAGGTATGGCACACAAAAGCAAATTTGTAGCTTTGGTCAGTAAATTGCTCTTGTTTGAACATACCATAACTACAGCTACCAAGATGGAAGGACTGATTCAGAATGTTGGTATTTAATAGGTAACTATTTCGAGCTGCTTTTAAATGCCTCTTGGGTTTGCTCCAGCTTACCTGTAAGTCTGCTGTCTTGCCATGCAGGATTTTCTTTAGACTTGTGCCCCCAAGTGTGAATTCAGTAGCTTTTCATTACCCCAAATCTTTTACTTATGTTTTGTGATGCATCATTTATTAAGTAAAATACAGTTAGTTTAGATAAATGGAAATGATTACTTCAGGGAACTGAACAAAATTATTCTTCTAATGGCAAAGCCCAGGCAGAGAGTCCTCTAACCAAGGAATAAGGCTTTTCTTCAGACACACTCACCCCTAGTTCAGTTTTAACTGTTCTTTCTCCCACGGCTTACTTCCAGACTAACTGGAGATTCTTTAATGAAGTTGTCCGTTTGTAACAGCATTTTACCACAATAATAGAGGGAAAACAACTCTTCTGTATTTTCTTAAACAGGTTTCTTTTGAATTTCGTTCCTTTCTACACTCAAAACTCGCTACGCTATTTTTTGATGAAGTGGTAAAGCAGATGGTAGCTGCCTTTGAAAGAAGAGCATCCAAACTCCACGGCCCAGAAACAAGCATACCTCGGGAGCTAATGCTTCATGAAGTTCATCACACATAAAAGGGAAAATTGTAACAGCCTCTATTATAAACTTGTTTGTACGCTTCTTTTGTACAAGAGGTGCCATGCTCCTCCTTTGGGGCATCTAGTTCGTATCTGAGCTTTGTGTGATTTTATGCTGCATGAAACACACCTGTTCAGCCAGATGTATATAGAATGTTCAAGCTGCCATCAAGTGCAACTTAAAAAAGTGTTATCAGTAACAGACAGTTGGCAGCTACTGTAACACAAGTATCTCAGGCTGCCGTTTATTAACTTGCCAAATGGTTTGTGTAGTCACAGTGCAAGTTCTGCCTTATCCAAGCCTAAGTTTTTGGGTTTTTTTTCAGCATTGTCACATATTAACTCAAGTTTAAGTTATTAGTAGTGTAAATGTAACTTAACAGCATCAACTCGGCCAACTCTGGCCAAGCCAAGGGAAACTGACATTCTAGCTTTGGGGAGCATGGAACAGTTTGTCAAGCATTGACTAGCAGGTGCTTTTAATCCAAATGAATGACAAGGGCAAGTCAGGAGTCTCCAGCTGCTGTTGAGTTCTGACCAGCAACTGCAATAGAAAAAACAACACAGCCTGAACACTCTTGACTTTTCAGGAATTAAACGTAAGGGGTACACGCAATGTAAGGAGTACTACAATTTGAGTGCAGCAGTTTCGGCTATGGCCGGTGGTTCTCTGCTGTCTGGGCTCCAGACACTGGTGAGTTTGCAGTATGTTTGGCAGGCTGAACTTGCCTACCTGCTGCTCTGTCACTGTTACACATTGCACTTCGGTTAGGGTAGACAGACCTCACCTAATGCAAACAGCTCCCAGTTCCAACACAGCTTTAAACCAAGTCAGTAAATGTTACCTCTTTGAGAACTAGGGCACGGATGCAGGACATTCTGTACCACAGTGCTGTCCTCCCTGGAAGGAGGGAACCAGGTGCCCTCCACTTGCTGCAGACGAGCACACTCAAGGCCAGTTGTCATTAAAAAACATACAATAGAGACCTAAACCTTAGTTTCTAGGGTTTTTTTTCAGTACTGTGCTACCATTTATTTATCAGTCCATTATGATGGTACCAGCCATCTTGATTATTCTTTTTCAGTAGTTCTAGTCCTTACATTAATATCCTCTATCCAGTCTCTGAAGAAATGTAAGTGAATAGGTGCTACCTTGCATTACCAAATTTCCTTACTGAAATGAGGTAAATTTTTTGGGTCAGGTGTTGAAGCTGGTCCTTTCTCCAAACTGTACTAACCATGTGGGTTACGGACACGGTAGTGTATTAAATAACATAGGAAGGTCTGTTTCAGGACAAAGACAACCTTGAAGCAGTTTCAGACCATTTAGATACTTTTACCAGAAAGAGCAATTGAAATGTCACACATCCTATCTGTGAAGGACAGTTCTTATTAAAGGTAGGAAGCTGGGGAAAGTCACAGCTGGATTAAGAGGTCTGTTTTAGAGCACTTTTGTTTGTTGAGACAATCAGAGACAAACATACACAAGTTTGGGAACACCATTGTTTTGAAGTCTGGAAAGCAGAAAAGACTGCACATCAATGTCATTAGCTGCATCAGGTCAAAGAACACAGTAGGTGGCAAAGCAAGCTGTCATTTTTAAGGGTAAAGAAGCATCTAGTGCAAAATAATTCAAACTAAATCCTGGAGCCCACTACCAGAAAGCTGGAAGACAAGGGTGGAAGTCTCAGGGCAAGGAGGTAACCACATACTATGCCTGAGCAAGAGGAACATTAAGAAAACCCACAACCCTTTCTTAGCAAAGGTACCCGTTTCCTACCCTCAGGGCACTTTCCCTCCCCCAGTACTGTGAAAGGTGCACTGGGCCTTTTCATGTGTTCCAGCACGTGAAACAAGCGGTATAGACATAAAGCCAATGCACGTGCCTTCTTTTCATAGCATTGTTTAATATTTCAAGGAACTGCAGTGTCAGTTCAGCCGAGATATTTCTTACCAAAATTAAAGTCGTCACTTGTATTTCTGAGAAACATTCTAGACAAAGGAATGCTTCCTGGAGGTAAAGGGCCTGTCATTTCCAAGCCCAAGTGTCAGGTTTCTAGTAAATCTTAGAAGCAGCAGGCTTTGTGCACAGGTGAATAAGGTGATACATTTTATAACTTTTGAGCAGTTTGTTTTATTACATAAAGGTCACATAACTGTATATTTGCCTACTTTGTACACAATTGTCTAGTCTCACGCACAGTGGCTTCCAAGTTCTTCCTAGTACTGGCAAGCACCAATAAATTCTGAAACAGAATATCAAGTGCCTTTAATTAAGTTTAAATCAGGACCTTGGTAGATGGATCTTGCACCCGGTTATCAGGAATGTACAAATGTCTTTATTCAAAAAATACAAAATAAATTATCTGTAGGCATGGACAATGACTGTAAACAATTACACGTGTGTTAAATGAAATCCAGTAACTGATGGTTACAGTGATTCTTTTAAACACCAGCCTCACGTCAGTCACTATCCACCCTCTCGCACCGACATCTGAAGTTTTCAAAGTCAGAACTGTCAGTCTTACACAGCACAGCTCACGATGCATCCCTATTCCCAGGAATCAGAACATGCCGCCTCCCATTCCTCCACCCATCCCACCCATTCCTCCCATTGCCGGCTCCCTTTCTTCTTTAGGAATTTCGGTCACCACTGCTTCTGCTGTTGATAAGAGAGACGCAACACCTGCAGCATCCATCAGAGCAGTTCTCACAACCTAAAAATAGGAGAGAAATAACTTAATACCTGCTGACTATCATGTGAGCTGGGAGGAAGGAAAGCTGAGAATTAAGACTATTTTAGGTTACCTTCGTTGGGTCTATGATTCCTTTTTCTACCATATTTACGAAGTCCCCAAGCATTGCATCGTAGCCAACTTCTGATGGACTCTGCAGAATTTTTTCCACTATTAATGATCCTTCAACGCCTGCATTCTTTGCAATAGTCATTGCTGGGATTTTCAGTGTTCTCTTTATTATTTCAATGCCTGTAAGAAAAAGATGTTTAGAATTACGTATCGCATACGCCGCTCCTCTTGCCAAGGCATGCCTTCGTGTGCTGGAGATCAATACAGAGCGCGCCCTCTGAGCAAGAGCATAAGCTGTTTTTATCAGTTCCAGGGAAAAATGTTCTCTGCTACTTGACGTCTGTCAACAAATGAAGTCATTGCGGGATATTCATGTGCATTTTGGTTTTAATTCTGCAAAAGTTAGTAAGGAGCATTATTATTGTTACATGGCACAAAGCATTTTTCCATTTGATTTGCCACACAATCTCTTAAGCATTCTAGATTTTACGTCTGTCTGCAGTGGCTGTAACAGTCAACTCAACTCTCCTTTAACGGTCTGCAATTCTTTGCAGGGGGTACTGCTGCTTTGTTGTTACTGGTTCTTTCATATCCAAGTCAGGGACGCAGTGAAAGCTCCTTCCCACTGTAAAGCAGAGACCGCCGTACCAAGGGGATACGAGGTTCTAAAGATCAAGTAACTAAAACTCACTAAAAGCAATCTGTATTTTATCTTACAAAGCCTCAGAACAGAAAAAAGTCTATTCTTAACACTTCCACACACATTCAAATAACTTACCAATTTTCTGATCTTCATTGGCTGGAGCTAAAGCATCTAATGCTGGAATGCAGCGAAGCAATGCACAGCCACCACCTGGAACGATGCCTTCCTCTACAGCAGCACGGGTCGCGTTCAGGGCATCAGTAACTCTGTCTTTCTTCTCATTCACTTCAACATCACTTGTGCCACCAACCTGCAACGAGCAAGCCACACGTCAAGGTCCACACAAGGAGCCCGGGTGGGAGAGCACCGCTGGCTATGGAACTGCTGCCGCAAAATTAAACAGCCAGCTTGAGTCGTTAACTGAAAAGTGCCAGAAAGCAAACCCATGGTCTCCCATACTGGCAGAGTTCTTCTGTACCTTAGCACTCGAGAAGCCTAACCACACAGTTTTAGTTGATTATTTCATCAAGTTCTTAATACCAAGGTGTAGCACTGTAGTAAGCCAAATTCCTTATCCAAATTGACTGCTAAGATTCTGAGACAACCACGCAGTAGTATCTCAGATTAGCAATAAAGGACTGATACCGCCCTTTTCCGGAGAAGGTTGACTTCTCACCTTCAATACAGCTACTCCGTCAGAGAGTTTGGCCAATCGCTCATTCAGTTTCTCTTTTTCATAGTCACTTGTGGTAACTTCTAGCTGTTCAATAATTTCTTGAATACGTTTTTCAATTTGAGCCTTTTCACCCTTCCCCTTCAGAAGCATAGTGTCATCTTTTGTCACAATGACCTCTCCAACTTTACCAAAGTCATGAGGCTGAATATCTTCCACATTTAGGCTCAGACCCTCTTCTCCAAACACCTGAAACAAATTACGCAAAAAGTTGGAATTCACAGCTTCTCCATACATGAGTTTTTCATTTGTAGACACGCGAACACATACAGCAGGCTAACAGCGCAAAACAATCACACTACTGCAGCCAAGTTGAACGAAACTCTTCCCTTCTCCTAACAGAGTCCAGGCATGCAGGTACCTCACGGAATAGGGAGCTGCTGCCTTCTCATTCATGACAGACTAATGTAACTCACTGATTCAAAGTGCCTGGAAAGTAGAGTTGTGTTACAGAGTCCTCCTGCTATTTCGCGAAGTTATGAATATTGGCACTAAATTGACTTTAGAACAGAGTTCGCTGGGTTTGTCACTTTGTGCTCCAGTTCGCTTAAATGCTAAGTTTCATTTCAAGAACCACCTCTGGATCCCAGTACCATGCTATGATTTTGAAGCATGTAAAAAAAGCAGCATAAAGGGACACTAATCAGCACATCAACTATTTGAGAAGTTGAGTATAAAGGAAGATTACCCAGTCTATTCCAAATATTTAAAAGAATTATATTTGCCATACTCAAGTCTGGGCAATTATGAGACGGTTTTGCAAGGCGGCAAGAAAGCTTTGCTATCTCTAAGAAATTTCCTTGATATTCCTGCTTCCCCTTGACAACCTAAATGCTGCAAGAAAATTGTGTGTAACGTCAGTCAGTTAAAAGGACATGTTACTCATGGTTGGTCAGGCCCATATTACACAGCAATGATCAAGACCTGCATTTAAAAAAGATATGAAGATTCAAACATTAAGAGTTAGTTACATTTGTGAAAGAACAGGACGCAGCCTGCAACACAGCAAATACAAGCCATGGACCTAAAAATACACGTTCTTTTCCTCCTTAAATACCATTAACATTTCTTAGAGCAAAAAGCCAATTAAAACATCATTACTTACAGCACCACCAGTAGCAATTGCCATATCCTTAAGCTGGTTTTTCCTGTTGTCACCAAAACCTGGTGCTTTTACAGCAACCACCTGAAGACCAACCTTCAGTCTGAAGAGAAGAATTCAGAGAGCAATTATTTCAGTACAGCTCTAACAATCAAGCAAACAGAGATCTTAATGAACTGAGCTGGTTTTGCTCAGAGGTAGTTAGGTAACAGCTGAAATTGTGTCCGAACTGATGTGAAGCATGGCTGTGTACAAAAGCTGCTGTTTCTTCGGTACTGTAAGAGCACAGACAACAGTTCTACACTGTAGCAAATTCAAATACACACTTTTGTATGCATGGCTGTGTACAAAAGCTGCTCGGTACTGGGTACTGTAAGAGCACAGACAACAGTTCTACACTGTAGCAATACACACTTCACACTTTTGTATGCATTCCTTTAAAGGGATTAAAAAAAAAAAGCAGTATTTGTCTAAACATACGGATTTTAAGCCTCACCTGTTCAAGACCAGAGTGCTGAGGGCTTCTCCATCAACATCTTCAGCAATAATGACCAAAGGTTTGCGGTGAGCATTGGCAATTTCAAGAGCTGGAACTATGGACTGTACACTAGAAATTTTCTTTTCACTGATTAAAACATAAGCGTCCTGGAATTCACATTTCTGCCCTGCAGAAACAACATGCATCAACTGAGCAATCCGATTACAAAAACATATCAAGCATTCTCTTAAACTTAAGGAGCTACTGTGGAGCAACTGTTGCACATTTCAACAGCATTAAAAAAAAAGAGACACAAAGTGTTTTCTCCAAGACTCCACTGTCAATTCTACATTGTTCTGGAGTGTTGCAGGGCCAGCTTGATGTTAACATGGACGCTGTCCACACTTAGCAGAGAAGAAAAACCACCCCACAGACTACAAGTTTTTACCAAGAGTTTAAAGCTTCTGATGGGGAAGGACGCCGCTGTCGTATTGCCATGGTACCTAGTATAACAGATTGTGAAGTCTTTGTAACAGGTACCATTATTTCTAACTTACAAGAGCCATTGTAAGGTATTTGACGTGTCATTGTTAACTCACCTTTGGTTGTATTAATAAAATATGGAGAGATGTAGCCTCTGTCAAATTTCATACCCTCAATGATTTCCAATTCATCGTTTAGAGTTTTTCCATCCTGTTTAGATGCAAGAAAGTCACATTAAAGATCCCTTATTTACTACCAAAAGCACAAGTATATTTTTAGCATACTACGCACAACAGAATGAAAGGCTCTGCGCCACACGTCAGTGTTATGTGCTTCTCTCTTCAAAATAAAAGGATTATAAGAGGGAACAGCAATCAAACCCTGATATAACGGAGCTAAGGAATTATGGTGGGATACCGTATGTGAGCAGCAGCAGCTACATCACATGCCACAAAAGCCAGCCCTAACTGGAGAAGAGACAGTCACTTTCCACTTAGTCCATATGCTGGCCAGTTCTTACCTTGACAGTGATTACACCCTTTCGTCCAACTTTTTTCATCGCATCAGAGATTATATTGCCAATTTCCTGATCTCCATTTGCAGATATTGTGGCAACCTAAAACAGTAAGCCATTTAACCTCATTTCACAATACAAGTGATTTGTTTCCTTGCTATAAAGAAAATCAGAATAACCATCTTCAATCCTCATGTTTCCTGACAAGACGGGGCAGCTGACTGTAGCACACCCACACCAGGATCCAAGAACTCCATTGGAAGGGCTAACAGCTCTTGGGCAGCTCAAGCACAGGGCCAGATCCCGTGCACTGTGCTCATGCAGCACACACAGGCCATCTGAATCTGCGGCCATGGGGAGAAATACGCCATGAAGGCCAACACAGCTGGTGCCCGAGACCCAGCTGGGCATCCACCTCAACCTGAACCTCCCACAGCAGATCCACAACACTCCCAGAAGTCTGCCATCACCTCCCATCCACAAACACATCTT